TAGTTAATCTTAAGTTAATTTTAAGCCAGCCCGTATGCTATGCATATAAGTGACTTTGGCATGCTGCTCTTACCTGTATTTTTTGTACCTCTGTATGTATGCTTAAATTACTAAATAAAAATAAAAAATAAAAAATTGGTGGAGTCGATGTGCGTTAGTTTATATGTCAAAGGTAAACCTGTTGTTGTTGACTCATAAGTAATAAGTTTGTTTAGGTACAGGAACACATTTATTTATTTATTTATTTATTTATTTAGTAATTTAAGCATACATACAGAGGTACAAAAAATACAGGTAAGAGCAGCATGCCAAAGCCACTTATATGCATAGCATTACGGGCTGGCTTAAAATTAACTTAAGATTAACTAAGCAATGATGAAATCAGTGATAAAACATTATTGTAAACAGATAACTATAAAATACAAATGAGTATTACAAAGACAGGTCATATGGTTGCTTGCATTGTTGTACATTCAGTCGAATGAAGTATTCTGTTAGGTAGTGTATTTAAAAAAATAACAAAGTTAGATTGGGTCCTAGGTTTAACATTTGTGTGATATAATTGTGAGTAACATATAGGATATACAATTTATAAGGTTCAGTTATTCAGTATTTATTTGGTTTTGAGTGAGTAAGTGATCTTTGAGAAGAGACTTGAATTTGTAAACAGGTAGTGTTTCTTTTATATTTACAGGTAATGAATTCCAGATTTTAGGGCCTTTTATGTGCATTGAGTTTTTGCATTGGAGTGTGCTGCCTGTAGTGAGAATTTGTTATCATTCTAACTGCAGCCTTTTGTTGGGTAATTAGTGGTCTGAGATGGTTAATTGTTGTTGAGCCCCATGCACAAATTCCATAGGTGAGATAGGGGTAAATAAGAGAGTGATAAAGGGCCAGGAGGGCTGACTGTGGAACATAGTACCGTATCTTCGATAGTATGCCTACAGTCTTGGAAATTTTCTTAGAAATTTGTTGTATATGTGTATGAAATTTGAGTCTATTATCGAGGTGGATTCCTAGGAATTTTCCCTCTGTTAGCTTTGTGATAGGTGGTCCGTTTATTGTTATGTTAAGAGGTACATCTGTAGCTCTGTTACCAAACTGAATGAAGTAGGTTTTGTCAATGTTTAGTGTAAGTTTGTTAGTCCTCATCCAGGTAGATATTTTCTGTAATTCGGTATTTACAGTATTGGCTAGCGTGACTGGGCTCGGGTGAGAGAAGACGTATGTAGTGTCATCTGCAAAAGTGTGGGTTTGAGTAATTGCGAAGCATTTGGTAGGTCATTTATGTATAGGAGAAAGAGAAGAGGGCCAAGGACACTTCCCTGTGGGACACCAACTGTAATTGGTTGTGCAGAAGAGCTTGCCCCATTTGCGTACACATATTGGCTTCTGTTGCTGAGGTAAGACTTGAGGTAGTTGAGGGAGTGCCCTCTAATACCATAGTGTGTGACAATTTTACGTGGAGCAAGTCATGGTCAACTGTATCAAAAGCTTTACGTAAGTCAATGAAGATCCCAGTGGGACTTCTTTTTTCTCTATTGCAGTGTATATATGTTCTAGCATGTGTATAATAGCATCATTAGTATTTTTATTAGGCCTGAATCCAAATTGGCAGGGGTTGAGAATGTTTTGGGAGATGAGGTAGGAGTAGATTCGTTTATGAATTAATTTTTCGAAGATTTTTGAGAGAGGGTGTAAATTGGATATTGGCCTATAGTTATTCAACCCTGTTTGGTCTCCTCCTTTATGGATCGGGGTGACCCTTGCTATTTTGAGAACTGTAGGGAAGGTGGAGGATTCAATGGATTTGTTAAAGAGTGTTGCAATGATTGGTGATAGTACTTGTGACGCTTTTTTGTATATAAAGGGTGGTAAGGTATTCAAATCTCCTGCCTTGTTTTTCAGTGCATTGATAATAAGGGAGACTTCGTATGGGTTAGTTGGAGCTAGGAACAGTGTGTTCGGGTAGTTGCCAGTGAGGTAGTCATTTGGTGGGGTATCTGAGCTTGGGATTTTATTGGCAAGGTTTTGACCTATAGTGGAGAAGAAATCATTGAGTCTGTTTGCTGTTTCTGTTGGTGGGAGTTGGGGTTCATCTGATTTTGCTAATTTTATTTCGCTATGTCGTGATATCTTTTTTGTTCCAGAATTTCTGATAGGGTCTTCCAGGTCTTTTTTATATCACCTCGTAAGTTGGATAATCTGTTCTCATAATACAATTTTTTTGCCCTTCTTATCAGGCTGGTTAGGATTGACGAGTAACGTTTTGTTTGGTCTCTGGTTATGTGACCATTCTGTACTGTTTTTCATATCGGTGATTTGTATTTATGGATTTGAGAATGCTGGGTGTTAGCCAGGGACTGTTCAGTCTCTTAGCTGTCATCTGTTTAGTTTTTTTAGGGCAGTGCTTGTTATAAAGGTATTGGGTCTTTTTTAGAAAATTATTAAAACATTCGTCAATATCTGTATAGATTTCTAGCTCAGTGTGCCAGTCAATGTTTGTTACTGCTGTTGTGAAGTTATTAATGGCTGCCTCATTGTGAAGTCTGAAGGTGACTTTAGTAGTGTCTTGGGGTATTTTACCAAGAGTTGTTATGAGGAAAGTAGGGTAGTGGTCTGTGGTATTATCTGTAATTATGCCTGATTTTAAAGGGGATATGGTGTTGGTCCAGATGTGGTCAAGTAGGGAAAACTATGTCTCTGTAACTCTTGTAGGTTTTGTTACTGTTGGTAGCAACATGCAGTTACTCATTGTGTTTGTGAATTCAGTAACGTGTGGGTCCTGGTCTTGCAGGAGATTTATATTGAAGTCACCTGAGAGTAGTAAGTGATCTTTGTTCATGCGTGCATCAGTTATCATACTTCCTAGGTTTTGACTAAATTGGCTAATGTTTGATTGTGTAATTCTGTAGATGTTTATCAATGTGAGAGGTTTTTGTAGGTATTTGGATTTGAATTTAGCTATTATATATTCCCATGTTCATCCCTTGTGCAAGTATTAGTGATACATTCTAGTTGGTCTGAGTAGTATATAGCTGTTCCACCCCCTTGTTGGTCTGGCCTACAGTTGTGTATGGCTGTGTAACCAGGAATGGCATAGACATCTGTACTATCAGGCTTTAGCCAGGTTTCAGTTAGTGTAATGATGGACATATTGGCATGCAAGGAATTTAGTAATGCTAGGACGTCATCATAATGCTTGCTTAAAGATCTGATATTGTAGTTAAAGATAGTTATGTTGTTGTTAGCTCTGAGAAGTGCCTTTGATTGTTCTGCAATTATCAGAAACAGTGTAAATTACCTAGCGTAACCAAAAAGTCAAAGTGGCGTATTGGGGTCGCTGTAATATCTTATTATTTAAACTTTAAAAGTTTAAACAGGTGATGTTGATGTGCTTGGTTGTGTGGCTCTGTTGGTATTTAAGTAGAGCTGCATGACTTGTCGGTTTAGCGCTTTATTTTATTATAATAATAACGCTAGTGTTTAGAAGAGTCCACCTATCCTAACTGAAACATATTGATGTCCTTTCTTTTTCCGGAGGAAGCTTAATTTTTTCTTTACTTCAAGCCCGGATATGGATGATATATATATTTCCCCGGACTCTCAGGAGGAGTTACTCAGTACTACGTAGTTTTACACAAATAACCCGCACGTAATAACACAAATAACCCCGCACAAATAACCCGCACGTAAGAGAGTGGAGCTTACTACCGAAACGTCCAATATGCGGGTTATTTGGAACAGAAGTAAGTCACTTTGACTTTTTTGGGTTATCCCTGCTGCTAAGTATGATAATCTATGTAACTGTATTTGTGTATACCTGAATAAACTTATTTACTTTGTGGAGATGCACAAATTAACATTAAGATTGACAACACTAATTACCAGAAATAATGGGGGAAAATTCCTAGGCTTATACCTTGACAACAACCTGAATTTCAGCACCCATATCCAGCATATAGCCAAAAAAGTATCCAAAACGGTTGGGATCCTCTCCAAGATACGATACTACGTGCCGCAAAATGCCCTTCTCACACTATACCACTCACTTATTTATCCATACCTCACCTATGCTATTTGTGCTTGGGGATCAACTGCAGCAACACACCTAAAGCCAGTAATAACCCAACAAAAAGCTGCAGTAAGAATAATCACTAAATCCCATCCCTGGCAGCACACCCCCCCACTCTTCAAAGATCTAAACTTACTCCCAGTTCAGTACATCCACACTTACTACTGTGCAATCTATATCTACAGGGCCTTAAACTCTAATATCAACCTTGACCTAAAACGCTTTCTTGATAGTTGTGACAGAACCCACAGGCATAACACCAGACACAAACATCTCTACGACATTCCCCGTGTCCGACTAAACCTTTACAAAAATTCAATGTATGTCAAAGGCCCTAAAATCTGGAATACCCTACCTGAGAACTCTAGAACTGCAGACACATTCATCCCCTTCAAAACTACCATTAGAAAACATCTTATCTCCCTGATACACCCCGTCAACTAACTACACAAATACCACCTGGTGGTTCACACTTACACTCGCTCACTCATTTGACCATAAACAGAAATATTAATCTCAGTCTTAAAATAATGAATCCTGTGATACTCCAATACTGAAACTATATATTGTGCCAAAACAAAAGCATTCACATTTCTAAACTCATAAACTAGTATTTAGTCACTTAGCCATAATACCAACTTACCTCATAATTTGTAATATTTTACAATTAAGAATAAAACTAAGTATGCCCGAAATGCCTAGCCATGCTAAGCGTTTTTAGTGGTACACTCTGTAATCACAATTTTACTACATGTAAACCAAACAATAACCAAATTTCTGTAAACTCAGCATTGTAATCCTTATAGAGAATAAACTTTGAATTGAATTGAATTGTGTATTGTTCCAGTCACAGAATTGTACCTTTCTGTTATCTATGTAAGTTTTGTTGTGTCTTAACAACCTCAACAACATTGTCATGCTGGAACGATGAAGTTTCAGTGGCCCTTAAACACCTAACAAGAAGGTGTCAGGCATAGTCAGAATTGTTTTCATATTTGTCTTCGTAACCATGGGAGAGACAGTGCCAGGTAACCTGGTGCCAGAGTGGGCAGACCTTGACCCTAACACCCTAAGGGAACCTGTCAAGTCTATTGAGGTGAGATGTTACCCTTTAATTAATAAAGAACTGAAGCTTGCTATTCTTGGTACTCTGCCTTGACAAAAAAACTGAAAGATAGACTGCAAATCACCCAGAACAAAATCGTAAGATTCATCCTGGGGCTGGGACCAAGAGAACATGTAGGCCAGGATGAATTACAGCAGTTGGATATGCTGAATGTTGAAGACAGAGTAAAACAACTGAAGCTAAATCATGTTTATAAAATTGCTCACAAACAGTGTCTAGAATATCTTGCTGTCAATTTTGTCAAGGTTGGGAACCAAGGCAATCATAGTACTAGGGGGAGAGAGCACAACTTTGTAGTACCCACAGTCAGTGGCCAGGCTTCAAACACCTTTTATTGTACAGTAATAAAGGAATGGAACAGACTGCCCGCACATGTCAAAGCCAGTCATAGCGTGAACCAGTTCAAGAAGACTGCCAAAAGGTGTCTGATGAATGTAGCTACAGAAAGGGAGGGGAATGATTTTCTATTTTTTAGCTAACATACGTGTAAATTTTACCTTATTCCTTTTAATTATTATTATTATAATCAAAAAGAAGCGCTAAGCCACAAGGGCTATACAGCTATTCCTTGTAATGACCCTCGTATTGTAGATAGTCTTAATGACCTTGGTGTAGCAGATAGTCTTTTTAGTATGATAATAAGATGTTATCTTCATTGTAGAATAATAAGAAAATATTATAACCTTTATATTATAATAATAAGGTAAAAGGACCCCAATGGAAATAAGTCACTCTGTCTGACTTTTTTGGGTTATCCTAGGTTCTCTACACACATGCTGCTATGTATGATAATTCTATGTAACTGTATTTGTGTATACCTGAATAAACTTACTTACTTACTTAAGCGTAGTCACTCAAGGATCCCAATGGAAATAACTCTGACACCTCTCAAGGGAGGTTCCTTGATGCTGGTGAGGGGCTCTTGATCTAAGGAATTGGATCTGTGCTCCGGTTCCCTGAAATGAGCCTGAATGCCTTCCAGCCTCCCCCCCCCCACATGCACTGTATATTCCTACGGGTTTAGCTCTCCCCCGTGTTTATAATAACTGACTTTTTTTTTTTTTTTGGGGGGGGGGGTTATCTTGGGTAATCTACACATATGCTGCTATGTATGATAATAAATGTAATTGTATTTATGTGTACCTGTACCTCAATAAACTTACCAAGGCTCAGCTAGAGGCACACCTAGGCTGATTTAAATTTTTATTTTTCAATATAAATAATGTAATGCATCATACATGTATACATTACATGCATAAAACTGATGCATATTACACATGAAGAGTGCATGTGTGTAACTTTTACTTGGTGTATACAGTTGTCACATTTTATTTATATATATGTGTTTTTATTGTTTTATTTAGGACAAATGGAAATTGGTGCCAGCTTTTCTACGTGTCAAAGGTCTGGTGAAGCAACACATTGATTCCTTCAATTATTTTATTAATGTGGACATCAAGAATATTGTGAAAGCAAACAGCAGGGTCACAAGTGATGTAGATCCATTGTTCTATGTCAAGTAAGTTAAGAGGTTATGTAATATAGTGTAGTGTATATGATTAACTATTCTTGTGTTTCTATCAGAAATGAACTTTGGTGATACCAATTCTATATTATACCATTACAAATGCTAGATAAAATTTTTATATAAAATGGTAATATGTTATTATTATTATTATAATAATAAAAAAGAAGCACTATTATTGTAATAAAGAAATGGTAATATGTTATATACTTTAAAATATAGTTTTTAAATATAGTAATGTATTCTTCGGTTATACATGTCAAATAGTTTTAAGCTAGGTTAAGACTGCCCAAAATGTTTTGTATTCAGGAACTTTACACTAAGTCTCTGAAATGTGTTTCCTAAGTTTTAATGATTGCATATTGCGCTTTCTGAAAATAAACAATCGTAATTTTTTTGGGGTAAATACTGCTTAAACTTAATTTGTATTGGATTTATCATTATGTTGTTATTATAGTCATGGTTAAGTGCTGAACCTGTATGGGTAATACAACACCTGGGAAATAGGAGGTAATCAGGTTTGATCCAAGGAAGAGGATAGCAGCTCATATTCCTTGAATCAGAAGCACTTCACCAGCATCAAGTCAACCCCCTTGAAGGGCATGTCACTGTATGCTTTGGTAATATAATATACATTTCTCATAATAACCATTAGACTAAAGAAGACATTATTTAATAATAACAATGCATGCTATATTTTAATTTATTTTTTTGGTAATGTTTCAGGTACATGGATGTACGAGTTAGCAAGCCAAACATTGAAGAAGGAATGAACATAGTCAAAGAGACAGCGCCCCATGAATGTCGTCTGCGAGACATAACATATTCTGCTCCCATAATGGTGGATGTTGAGTATATGAGAGGTGACCACCGGATATTCAGAAGAGATATTCCAATTGGTCAGTTCAGTTTTTAAATGACACGGTAGATAGTGTATCCACAAATATATTTCACAGCAATTTGTTGACTTTCCTTTATCTAGAGTTTAGTTAGTCTTGATGTGTTATCATTATTTACTCTAGTTTGCCTAGCTTTTAGAAGTCAGTAGATGTTTTTGGAAAGTGATGATACTTTTCACTTTACAATATCAAAGTATTTATATTTTAGGGCTCTACGGTCAGTCAAGATCAAGTTTTATTTTCCCTTTCCTTCACTCCAAAAAAATAAAAAAATTTTTTTTACAGTATTGTAAAAAATTTGAAACAGAATAAAATGTTGAAAATATTAAGAACTTTGGCTTTTATGACATTTTAAAGTTGCAAAAAGTTTTGTGAGCACTTAAATAATATTTTCTTCATAGTTATAAATGAATGTTGGGGTCGAAGATTTTTCATATCCTTTCCCTACACCTCTCTCTCTCCCTCTTCCATGTGCCACTATGGGAGGCAGGGCACAGTATGCTCATTCCTCAAAATAAACTTTTCATATTAAGCCATGCAGTTGTCTTGTGAATTTCCCACACTCTTAATTATATTAATCACAATATTAAGGGCTCAACGTTTCAAGAAGGACAGGAGTGTGTGGTGGCATTTTGGGGGCCATATGCATATTTATGTCATCTGACTCATTAGCGATAGATCTACTTCCTCTGCTTTTCCCCTTTGTTTTTCACTTATCCTGCCATATCCTTCACACAGTCTGCACCAAACTTAGTTATTTTGTTAAAATGATGCACTAGACATTGTACTATAGTTATTAACAATCATCTTTAATAAGCGTATCTGTCTGCCTCCACAGGACGCATGCCAATTATGCTGCGTTCATCCAACTGTGCACTGTCAGAATGTCGCACACACACTGAGCTGGCCAAGTATAATGAATGTCCTCATGACCCTGGTGGCTATTTCATCATCAAGGGACAGGAGAAAGTAAGTATACTGTCTTGCTGGTTCTGTGGTAATGATGCCAGACCAAGAACAAGTTAGCTGGTGAGCATTTCCTGGCCCTGCATTTACACATTAAGTGAACACTTTTGTTCTTACTACTCTTCCTTTCTTTAGACCAGACCTAATTACCTCTCATTCTCAAGGCACTGTATGACCCCTATGGCTGTAGTACTTCCCCCTGAATGCATCAATAATTTGACCTCATTGGACACCAAAACTGTAAAATAAACCAGATGACTACATTTACATTTATTATAATCAAAAAGAAGCGCTAAGCCACAAGGACTATACAGCATTTACAAAGGAGCTTTATGTTCAGTGTTTCTCAGAAGACACCGAGAGTTTAAAGCTATACATGAATAGAAACTCAAGACCTTACACTTTTAAGCAGTTTGTGAAGAAATAAAATAAGAAGTACTTTGTTTTGGTATCCATTTTACTTGGCTAAGGAGAAAAGTTTTGTTTCTCTTGCAGTTACTTAAGATGACAAATATATTACACAGAAAATTTTATATAAATGTAACTGAAATGATATTAGCCATGTTTTATTATTTGACAGTAAATTGTTATAGCCACTGTATGTAACTTGAATTCTGTGTGTATAGCATTGATTGTAGCTTATTACCATATACATAATACAGAACTTTTAATTTTTACACAAAGTCCTTGGTATTGTTATTTTCTTTACTCACACTCTTAATTATTGATAAGAAATACCAAACTGGAAATTTATAAAAAATGTATAGTTGTTGTCCCTGTACAATGACGAGCTTTTTACTTATTACCTAAAATTCTTAATATTTTCTTCACTTGTAATCTTAATGATGATAAATGAATGATGAAAACTAACAGTTTTCTTTTTCAACAGGTTATTCTTATTCAGGAGCAGTTGTCAAAGAATCGTATGATTGTTGAGGAAGATAAGAAAGGAGGCCTCACATGTCAGGTCACCTCATCTACACACGAGAAAAAATCTCGTACCAATGTTACCATGAAAAATGGAAAATACTACCTTAAACACAATACTCTGACTGAAGATGTTGCTATTGGTATTGTTTTTAAAGCCATGGGAGTAGCCAGTGACCAGGAGATCGTACAAATGATTGGGACAGAGGATAGGATCATGACTTCATTTGCTGCATCACTTGAGGAGTGTGCAAGGCTAAATGTATACACACAGACCCAAGCACTTAAATATATTGGAAACAAAGTTCGTCAGAAAAGGTATTTTGATCGTGGTCCAAAAAAGACTCCTGTTGATGAAGCAAGAGATTTACTTGCTACAACAATTTTAGCTCATGTTCCTGTAGAAAAATTTAACTTTAAGATGAAATCTATATATTTGGCTCTGATGGCCAGACGTGTGATTGAAGCTCAAGGTGACACCAGAACTGTTGATGATCGAGACTACTATGGCAACAAAAGATTAGAACTGGCAGGATCACTTATCTCTCTTTTATTTGAAGACTTATTCAAGAAGTTTAATTCTGATTTGAAGAAAAAAGCTGACATAATCCTTGGTAAAAAGGGAAAAGTTTCTCAGTTTGATGCAGTTCAGTACATGCAGTCCAGCCAGGATGCTATCACTAATGGTCTGGAAGTAGCCATATCTACAGGCAACTGGACTATCAAAAGGTTCAAGATGGAGAGACAAGGCGTGACTCAGGTTCTTGCAAGATTGTCATATATATCCGCACTGGGTATGATGACACGTGTCAATTCACAGTTTGAGAAGACACGAAAAGTCAGTGGTCCAAGATCTCTCCAACCCTCTCAGTGGGGAATGGTTTGTCCCTCAGACACTCCTGAGGGAGAATCTTGTGGTTTAGTTAAGAACTTGGCTTTAATGACTCACATTACTACAGAAGTGGATCCTGAGCCAATCATTGAACTTGCTTTCAACTGTGGCGTGGAGGATATTAACCTGTTATCAGGAGAAGAACTTTCAAACAGAGATGTTTTTCTGGTGTTTTTGAATGGTAACATCATTGGTGTTACAAGAGATCACAAAAGAGTTGTGAGAGTGTTTCGTGCCATGAGACGCAACACTGTTATTAGTGGGTTTGTGTCTATCTATACTCATTATAAACATCGCTGTGTTTATATAAGCTCAGATGGGGGACGCCTTTGCCGGCCATACATCATTGTAACAAATAAACGACCTGCAGTCATGGAAGATCACATTAACAAACTAACACGGGGGCTTATGGCATTTGATGATTTTCTCTATGAGGGTTTAGTCGAGTATCTTGATGTAAATGAAGAAAATGATTCAAGTATAGCTATGTATGAACATGAAATTATAGACAAAACCACTCACATGGAAATTGAGCCATTTACTATTTTGGGAGTTTGTGCTGGACTTATCCCTTACCCTCACCACAACCAGAGTCCTCGTAATACCTATCAGTGTGCCATGGGTAAGCAAGCAATGGGCACTATTGGCTACAACCAGAGAAATAGGATTGATACGTTGTTATATAATCTTGTCTACCCTCATAAACCCCTTGTTAAAACGAGGCCTATTGAACTTATAAATTTTGAACATCTTCCTGCAGGTCATAATGCAATGGTGGCTGTAATGAGTTATTCAGGTTATGATATTGAAGATGCCATCATTATTAATAAAGCATCACTGGACCGAGGTTATGGTCGTTGTATTGTGTATCGAAATGCTAAATGTTCTGTAAAGCGTTATGCAAACCAAACCTCAGACAGAGTTCAGGGTCCACTCATGCAAGTTCTTGAAGGTGGTAAACATAAACCCATCTGGAAACATGAGACACTTGACAGTGATGGTTTAGCAGCTGTTGGAACACCTGTACTTCCTAGACAGGTGCTTATCAATAAGCAAATGCCAACAGTAACACAACTTTCTTACACTGATGAACAAGCTGGAAGACAAGTAGAGTTTCGTGACACACCAGTTGTACACAAGGGACCAGGTTCTATTTATGTGGAAAAAGTCATGTTGTCTTCAGATCCAGACGAGTTCAACTTGATCAAAATTCTGTTGAGGCAGACTCGTCGACCTGAGATAGGTGATAAGTTTTCATCTCGGCATGGCCAGAAGGGCGTGACAGGACTCATTGTACAACAGGAAGATCTTCCTTTCTCAGACCAAGGACTCTACCCAGATATGATTATGAACCCCCATGGTTTTCCATCCAGGATGACTGTAGGAAAACTTATGGAGCTTTTGGGTAGCAAAGCAGCTGCTCTTGAAGGAAAGTTCAATTATGGAACAGCATTTGGTGGGACACCAGTAAAGGAGATTATGGAAGAACTAGTCAGGCATGGATATAATTATCAGGTGAGTAACCTGTGAAATAAATAGGATACCATTTACTATGCTGACTGTTTTGTTCATGCCATCATGCTAGTAAGGAACTGTTGTTCCAAAGAGTTAGAGCTACCCTCCCATTCCTTGGATCAAACTTATTAACCTCCACTCCCCACTCACATTCCCTAACACTTTATGACCTTAGTGCTTTCTCCCGAATATAATAATATTAAAAAATCAGATAGTAGTTGAAGATGTTCTAGACTAATGTGAAATAATGAAGTGAAGCATATCTATGCAAGAAAACTGCCAAGGAAGGTGAATGATTAAGAACTTGGCAAAGTAAGAAATAAGCCATTGTGAAATATTAGGTAAGACAGTGAAGGATAGAGTTGTATTGTTTAATTGCTGAGTGAGTTAATGAGTAAGTATCCCACACTTGTATAATGTCTGTCTTTGTGGTGCTGTATATATAGTACCACAAAGTAATACCTAAATTTCTCTCTTGCTAGATAATATTACTGTAGGAAAATGTTTGCATAGTCATACATCTATGTACCTCTGAGTGATTCTTTATGAGGAATTACGTGTATCCCCTAAAGGAAGGCTCCTTGATGATGGTGAGGGGCCCTTCCCTTCCTTGAATGCCTCCCATACCTCCATGTACTATATAACTCCTATGGGTTTAGTGCTTCCCTATGAATATAATACCAATGTATTTAAACCATCAGACATAGGTGCATGCCCTTCACAACTGACCTACAAATTGGAATTGGAAATTAAACCAACATTTTAGTCTGTTCTATGCTGTTATAAATTCCTTCATGATTTGACAATGATTGAAAACAGACCAAAATATTGTCTAGTATCCATTTTCACTAAGTAGGCTGTGAATTGTTCCACCAGTGGTATTGATTTTATCTTCTACAGTGGGATCCTGGACTTCGTCCTTGATCCGTTCCAGAAGGTCGGTCTAAATCCGAAAAGGACAAAAACCAAAATAATATTTCCCATAAGAAATAATGTAAATACAATTAATCCATTCCAGACACCCAAAAATATTAACAAAAAATACATTTGTTTAAAGAATAACTAATTTTACATACAGAAAACAATGAGAAAGAAATATAAATAACTAATGAAATGGATAAATGAACATTTAACATCACATTTACCTTTATTGAAGACTCTTGTTGGGGTATAGACGATGAGGAGAGGAGAGGGAGGAGGAGCAGAGGTTATTGTTTGGAAGGGAAATTCCCCTCCATAAGGACTTCAGGTATCTAATAATCTGTCCAGAGAGCTCTGTTTCTGGCATCTAAGATTTGCCTAAAATGGGACAAGGTATTGTCACTGAACATGTTGCAGATATGGCTTGTATCAGCTTGGTCAGGGTTATATTTTTTCCACAAAAGCTTGCACCTCATTCCACTTTGCACAAATGTTCTTAATCACTGAAGAAGGCACCTTCTCCCCTCTCTCTTCCTCCTCCTCTTCCTCTGAAGCAATTTCCTCAACTGTGGTCTGTTGCTGTTCCAGATGTTTGTTGATTTGGACTTGCCATACATCCTAGCAAGCTCGACCACACGTACGCCACTTTTGTATTTTTCTACAATCTCTTTCTTGAATTCTATTGTGTTTTTCGCCTTCTTTACCAAAGGGCTGGCACTAGGAACTTTCTTTGGGCCCATGGTGGCTTATTTCACAGTCGCACTCAATAAACAAGCACAAAAAACAATTATTACGAAATGTCTTGGATGAATGCGCAAAGTAATTCTCACTCAACCAGTGACAAAGCCAGACTGAGACAAGTACGCATGAGTGGCGGTGTCCCAGGCAGGTGGACGCATCTGATACGGATGATATCCGGGTGGAGGTACAAAATCCGGTGCAAAATTTCGCCCCAAAAAAGTGGTCTAAGTCCGAAACGTACAATATTTGGTGCAGACGAAATCTGGGGTTCCACTGTACATGAGTTTTAACGCTAAGCACCATGATGTCGTACAGCATTAGTATACTGTACTTTCATTATGTCATACACTGATGACAGTCCTAAATTCTGATTCAGTTGTGCTCCCAATGTATTTTAGCATAATGTAACTTACAGTATTAACCAGAATAAATATTGGTCTTATGTTGACATTTCAAAGAAATTAGAACAAGAGTAATTTTAACTGTTGATTCTGTGATTACCCTTGTAGGTTTAGCACTTCATTTTGTATTATAATAAATCTGTGATTAATTCTTGAATGATCTTGAATTTTACATTTGTTTTTAGGGAAAAGATATCCTATATAGTGGGACAAGTGGTGAAGCTTTGACTGGATACATCTTCTTCGGTCCTGTGTACTATCAGAAGCTGAAGCACATGGTCATGGACAAGATGCATGCTCGTTCTAGAGGCCCTCGTGCAGTGTTGACTCGACAGCCCACTGAGGGACGTGCTCGTGATGGGGGCCTTAGGCTAGGAGAGATGGAACGAGATTGCTTAATTGGCCATGGTGCTAGGTGAGACTATTAATGAAAATTTTTAATTGCTGCTGTTGGTAGTATATAATTACGGTATTGTTAAGGGGGAGGTGCCTGATGCTGGTGGAGCTCCCCATCCCTGGATCCTCATGATCTCCTCCAGATCTCCAGGTGCTGTACAGCTCGTGTTTAGCAGTTCTCCATGAATATACCATGATGTCACATGATAACCTTCACGGCAGTCATGCTGTGTCTTGGGGAATGGGAAGCAATTAGGTTTGATTCAACAATAATAATAATGTTAATATACTTTGTGTGTATATATATACACAGTATATGTATTTCTACCTGCAGCATGCTGTTACTGGAACGCTTGATGATATCATCAGATGCATTTGATGTGGATGTCTGCAACTCGTGTGGTCTGCGTGGGTATTCAGGATGGTGCCATTACTGCCGCTCATCTGCAAGTGTATCTTCAATACGTATCCCTTATGCTTGTAAGCTTTTGTTTCAAGAATTACAGTCAATGAATATAGTTCCTAGATTAAGATTAGAGAATTATTGCACTTAGTGGCACAGGAAAGGCAAATGCAATACCAATATATTTTTAGTTCTTAATAGGTTCTATGCATGTTTTGTAATGCGTATATGACTGGCAATGCCCAAAACATTTGCTCCCTGTGGCAAAATTTAAGAATTAATGTGACACGCAGTAGCATTATACCTGTATGAAAAATTTCTTAATTAAATAACTGGAACTTTCATAATTTTATCTTACCTTTGTTTAGCCTATGTTTACCTATGTTTACCTGCAGTTTAAAAACTGTAGTGTAAAACACCCTTCTGGCAAAACAGTGATGGAGTGAATGATGGTGAAAGTTTTTCTTTTTCAGGCCACCCTGCCTTGGTGGGAATCGGCCAGTGTGTTAATAATAATAATGATGTTTAGCCTGTTCATGAAATATTTATATTAAAAATGTGATAAACAGATAATGGAGATTGTAATATGCAGTACAGTACTTTTATGAGAGCACCCTTCAAGGGAGGTGCCCTGATGCCAGTGAGGGGCTCTTGATCGAAGGAACTGGATTTGCCTTCCCCTTCCTTGGATCACACCTGAGCATCTCCCATTTCCCAGGCACATTATGACCCCCTACATGTTTAGCATTTACCCCTAGTTAAAATAAAAAAAAAATTGAGAACTGTGAAGTTTTTACATTCATCTCAGTCCATAATGGTAATACAGCACCTGAGGGGAGTGAGAGGCAATCAGTTTCAATCCAAGGAAAGGGAGAATGGTCCACTTCCTTGGATCATGAGTCTCATCAGCATTAAGGCATCTCTTGAAAAGTTTAGTGTTTAAAGGATTAAGTAAAGATGAATCTGCCCGTCCTGGTACTGTATATTATCAATTATTATTCACAAGCGTTTAATGAAACATACAATATTAATACATACAACTTTATACACATTGCAAAACAATAACATCAGATATTGTAAAACACTGCATTCTGCATAACAAATGTAAGAAACATAACAAATAGGAAATAATAGATATAAAACTAAACCATTCACAATAATAAATAATGCAAAATGCGCATCAGAAGTTTATAATATGCATGTGTTAACACTTAATAGGCACGATGATACCTCAAAATCTGGATTTGAGATTTGCAAATAAGTACAATAGCCTATAAATACCAGTATATTACATGTTCCACTTTCCAAGTAGAGGTATAACATATTGCACGGGCATTCTTGAGTTAGTACCCTCATGTGCCACATTCAAAAACAATTGGAGAAGCTTGAGTATTGATGTTTAAGATATGCATTTACAACAATCTTAAATATGTGAACATTTGTGTGCAGTAGACACTTGTTAATTTTCCGTGTCAGATGCTTTGGCCTGCCATAAATGGAGATAAACTTAATTTCCTAATTAAACAGAATGTACTCGTAGGAAAGCTGTATAACCCATAGGATCATACAGAACAACAGTAGCTATAGTATTGAGCCCTACGTGTTACTCTCCTCCATTCTGATGTCTCATCCCTTACAGATACTCTTGCTTTTTCATTCAAGCACTCTCTAACCCACTGAAGCACACTGCCATTTTCTCCAATTTCTGGACTACAGGCTCAAAAGTTTTCCTTAAATCCAAGAAGTTGAAATCTGCCCAGCCCTGTCTGTCTTGTTTCATCTCTGACTGTCACAGAACTCCAGTAAGTTTGTACAGACAGGATTTTCCATCCCTGAATTTGTGCTGTTTTCTATAAGTAATCATCTTTCCTCCAAGTGCACCACTATCCTTTTTCTTACTATCTTCAGAACTCTCAACAGTATGCATGGTGAAGATTGAGACACTTATGTAACATATGGGAATCTTTATTGAGGAAACGTTTCACCACACAGTGGCTTCATCAGTCCAATACAAATCAGAAGGGTGTAAGGAGGGGAGGAGTTTGAGGTAATCAGTCCCTCAGCCTGGAGTCGATGTGTTCAGTCCATCAGTCTTGTTGGAAGTACAGCATAGGGCCGTAGACGTGGCTTATGTACTGTAGTCAGGTGAGACAAAGCAGGAGGAGGCGGGGTCATAGTGGTACCATCCACTAGTCAAAGTAGGTCTTCGTCCAAAGGTTGGACAAGCTTGAGGAATTGTTTGTATCAAGATCCCATGATGTTGCAGTGTCTGACAAGACTGATGGACTGAACACATCGACACTAGACTGAGGGACTGATTACCTCAAACTCCTCTCCTTACACCCTTCTGATTTGTATTGGACTGATGAAGCCACTGTGTGGCAAAACGTTTCCTCAATAAAGATTCCCATATGTTGCATAAGTGTCTCAATCTTCAACTTGTTGGTTTTCTAAACCATTTATCACAACTGTCAGACATTGCAACGTCATGGGATCTTTATACAAACAATTCCTCAACCTTGTCCAACCTTTGGATAAAGACCTACTCCGACCCCCCATCCTCCTGCTTCGCCTCACCTGACTACAGTAAACAAGCCAAGTCTACAGCCCTATGCTGTGCTTCTTACAAGATTGATGGACTGAACACATCGCCTCCAGGCTGAGGGACTGATTACCTCAAACTCCTCCTCTCCTTACACCCTTCTGATTTGTATTGGACTGATGAAGCCACTGTGTGGCGAAACGTTTCCTCAATAAAGATTCTCATGTGTTGCGTAAGTGTCTCGATCTTCAACTTGTTGGTTTTCTAAACCATTTATCACATCAGTATGCATGGTAAAGATATCACCTGTAAGCCTGTAGTTCAGTGTATCTTGTCTGTCCCTGTTTTTATGTCTTATGACGACCACATTTGCTTTTTTCCAATTTTTTGGCATTTGTCCCTGGATATATTAGGTGGAAACCTTAGCTATTGGGTCATACAGTGGCTCTGTTCCTCTCAGCACTCGTGAAGGTATCAGGTCCAATTGCTCTTCTAACATTAGACTTGTATAGTAGTTTCATCATTTATTTTGTTATGCTGATAGTTTCTAGTACCTGTTGCTCTAGTCTGTCAACAGTGGATTCTGGTAACTTACCACTTTCTTCAGTATAGACCTTTGAATCTTTTGCTAAGTTCTTGGCATACTACTGCCATTCTTCATCAACATCTCATCATCCTTCAGATTTATCACTTGGTCCTTCACTGTTAGTCTTGTTTTATGTGGTTGTGGAGTATTTTTGGTTCTCTTGTGGCCTTTGATGCTATAGTGTTTGCCATTAAAGCATGCTGGCCCACTCTAAAATCACAACTATAAAATAGGATGTCCTTCAACCATCTGCAAAGTCATTAGCACACATTCTTCAGGGTTTCACAGGGTAAATTTATTCACAATTAAGCCATGAACTTTTTCAGTTTTTCTTGTTTCTTTTCCTCATGTTTGGTATAAATCTTTACTTTGCCTCTTGGCACTTTGATTCTAATACTGCAATCATTATTTGTTCATTGTCCTCCAGGTGTCTTTCCCAGTGCACCTCACTCAGGAAGTTTCTTATTCCATCATACCATTCCTCCCTTCTGTAGTCATGTCTCCTGTTTCTCACTTCCTTTCTTTCCCCACTCCCATTTCCACAAGGTGCTCAAAACTTAGTACCCAGTAATTACTGGCACCTAGTGGTTTCCTATAAGTAATCTGAGTTGTTTACTAGTACCTAGTGGTACCCTACAAGTAATTACAGCCGTCCTAATAATTGTGTAAAAATTAGATCAAATCTTGCCGGCTCATGTTCCCCTTCACATGTCTTGGAAAACTCTTCAATACTACTTCCATAAGTTTTGCTCTCCACATGTCTGGGCCTCAATGGGGGTCCCAGTTTTCCTAATCTATCTCCTTGTGGTTGAAATCTTAGTAGTACTGTGTTTTCCCTTTCTTTTACTATGTGGTAGCCCTTTGGAAATATCACATTTATGATTCCATAGATCTTCATCTCTGTAATAGCTATAATATCAGGGTTTTCCTCTCCTCCTCTTTTTTTTTTCATGACTTCAGTTTTGTTGGCAACATCTACCTCTTTACTCTTCTCTGGGCAAGTCATTTTTTTTTTTACTTCATTTCTGGAGATACTGGGCAAGAATTCTCTGTGGAGTCTTGTGGGAGTTCCTGAACTCTTTACCTTTGTAGTTTCCCTTCCCTTCCCAGTTAAGTGGTCTGTTCCCTGTTCCATTCCTCTGTTGCTTCCTTCTCCTTTCTCAAGTCTCCCTTTCTGCCTTTCACTCTTCCTCTGTTCTGTCTTCCTTTACAGAGCATTTCAAATTTGTAAGATCCCCACAGATTCAATTTCCTTTTCATTACTAAGTTCTTTGCTCCTTACTCTGTAAACATAATTTGCAATGGCTGTCTTTACCTTTGCATATACTGTATTCGTACCAACAAAACCCCAGATTCTGCCTCTCACTTGTAGCTCGCATATCTTCCATCAGGTCTTCAATTTCGTAGGGTCCTCTTTCCTCTCATTCTCTTACTTCATTTAATTTGAAAACTGAGAACTCTGTGCCTCATGTTCTTATCTTTCTGTGTATTTGACTCTTTGTATTTACCTATTTGTGGTTGCATGGGTTGAATCTCTGGTCTTGGCTTTGTTGCTGTCCTGAGATGCTACTTCCTGACCACCCTGAGGTTGAAAAAATACCTCCTGACATCCCAGTAGCTCATCTGCATCTTTAACTTCCAGCTGTGAGTACCTATTCCCACCTCTCCAACAGCTTATCCCTGTGTATCCTATCAATTCACATGACCATTTTGTAGGCTATTGTGTGTTTTAGTTTTAGCCAGCAGGCATAACCAACAGAGTAACACTAATTATTATGCTATGATCAGACAAAGAGGTGTTGGGAAAATCTGACATTGTGTCAGACCTGTCTGAACTTAACATGGGTTTTGTGTTTACAGCGATGCACCTGATTATATTCAACAGCTCTGGGGGATGTTTGTAATGATACACATTAGTTAAATAGAACCCAAATTACATAGAGTATGCAAATTTTTACCTCTGTTGTCCATGCTGATGCCTCAGATAAGCAAGATGCACATACACAGTATTGCAGTTATATTTACATTTGTGGAAAGCACTAAACCTGTGAGAGTCATTCAGCACTATATAGTAAAGGTGAGAGATGACAGAGGCAGTGTTGAGGGGTGGATGATGGTTGAAAGGAAAGATGTTAATACTGATGTAGCAACTGGTGACAGTCAAGAAATCATAAAAGTGGGGCCTGCAAAGATGAGAGCAAACTAAGCATATTAGGGTATTGAAGGCATCTGAAATGAAGTGACAAGCTCTCCAATGGCTGGGACACCTAATCAAAAAAATTTATTGTCAGTGGGATGTGATATTTCTCGCAGAGTGGTCTCAGTCACCCAAAGATACTTATATAAAAAAAAACTGAAAAAGTTGCAAGCCCTGATGTTATATGTCTGTCTTGCAGCAAGATAAAAAAAAAAAAAAAAAAAAAAAAAAAAAGTCAAATAGAAAAGCACAGTATTATTACATTTATTAGGAAAGGGGAAGTGATAAACCTTTGGAGGTTATACAGTTCCTGGGAAAATAGGAGACCAGACATGATGCAAAGGAGAGAATAGGTCGAACAACAGTCCCTCACCAGTATTAAGGAACCCCCCTTAAAGGGTTTGAAAGTCAAAGGAAAGTCTAGACTTTGAGAGAACTTCTAGCTAAATACTGTAATTTAAGGGATAGTACAGCTCTCCTTCCATCAAAAAATGTTGCATGACCCAGTCTTCAGAAATTTGGCCTGTCATGCATCTCTTCCTGTTAGCAGTCCAATGTATCATCTTGGGCTTGCTCACTGATCATGTATATGGCAAAATATTTTTGCACACTGGGGAATTACTGGTAGAAATGGGGGTCATCACATAGTAGTACTAAATGGTTTTTTAAGTGATGTAATGAAAATTTGCCTTAAGAGAGAATTGAGATGGAAAATGCAAGACAGTTTCACAAAGAAATTAGTATACAAAATACTATACCATCCTCCATGGGGAAGTGGAACAGAATTCTTCCTCCGTAAGCCATGCGTGTTGTAAGAGGCGACTAAAATGCCGGGAGCAAGGAGCTAGTAACCTCTTCTCCTGTATATATTACTAAATGTAAAAGGAGAAACTTTCGTTTTTCCTTTTGGGCCACCCCGCCTCGGTGGGATACGGCCGGTGTGTTGAAAGAAAGAAAGAATACTATACCATAATGGTAAATACAGTTCTGTACTCACAACTGGTTGCAAAGATTTAAGACATTGTATTTATCATTACTGTAGGCCATCCAGCAAGCGGGCATATACAAAGTGCTGAGAAAAATTATTTGGAAAAATTTAGTTTTGTTGAAGCATAATTTCACAAACTTATAATGCAGAAACAGGTTTACCGTGGAAAAGTTGTGTGTGATTATTAATGTATTTACAAAAAAAAGTGCTAAACCATTTGGGTTGTATGCTTACATGATGGAGAGGTGCTCATATCAGAGGAAATAATTGTGAAGAGAGAGCTCATGTGTCAAAGGTAAAGTTAAAGCTGGTGTAATTAATTGGTCTCAGTTAAGAAATTTGGAAGGTATTGTACACAATACTTTTGTTTTCAGCCATGTGACATTATTGGGTTATCTGAAATAATTAAAGGAAAATCTTATTGTGTTCACATGTACTAATATGGCATACAGTTGTAACTTGCTTGTACAAGGCTAATGTTAGAACCTAGGAGTCCTCAAGGGTGTCAATGTTACTTGTTATTTATGAAGTGAACCGTAAAGGCTGAATTACATGAGAAATTACTAACAAATGGTTTCAAGCAGATTTTGTGCACAAGGCAAGAGACACTAATAAAATCAGGTGCCCTAAAAAATGATCAGATAAATGCTACTGACTAATAGACACTGTTCAAACCCTCTGATGGAAAATGGTCTCATGAAATAGAAGTGCTTTTAACCCTTTGACTGTTTTGGTCGTATATATACGTCTTGCGCACCACTGTTTCGGACATGTTAATACGCGTAAATTCTAGCGGCTTCAAATCAAGCAGGAGAAAGCTGGTAGGCCCTCATGTGAGAGAATGGGTCTGTGTGGTCAGTGTGCACCACAAAAAAAATCCTGCAGCACACAGTGCATAATGAGAAAAAAAAAAACTGGCCTTTTTTTTTAATTAAAACGCCAACTTTGAGGTGTATTTTCATATAGTATTTATTGTTGTATTCTCGTTTTCACCAATGTTCAGGAGTAAGCAAATCACACTACACATCCAATACAAGTCAACTGGGGAGTCTAATATTCTTTCACTAGTGCACTGATATTATTTATACCATTTTTACAAGTAAATTTTGTATTTTTTGTATGAATAAAAAATCAAAATAGAAAGCAATAGTAATATAAGAGGGGCCTAGAGACATAACTAATGAACAGAGGATATGTTATTTTAGTGCCAAGAATGTCTACATTGTTTATTCTGGACCCTATTTTGAAATTGGCATCTTTTTTAATTTGCGTGAAATTGCCAAATTCTGACCACTTTACTGGGTAGTTCAAATCGGTAAATGGGCAGTTTCTTGTACTCAACTGATAGAAAAAATGGAGTTCTAAAGAAATAGCTATGAGTTTGGTCAACTGGAACAACAGAATTGGCCAAAAACAGGGCTCAAATTTGGCAAAATCGCCGATGCGTATATGTCGCCGAGACCACTAACTTTGCGGGAGCGTAATTCCCTGAGTTTTAGACCAAATTTCGTACTTTTTGTGTCATTACCATTGGGAAAAGGTTCTCTATCATTTCAAAAGAAAAAATTATTTTTTTTTTCCAAAAATTTTGCGACATAGAATGACAGTTTCAGAAAGGGGCTTGCAAAAGTCAAAGGGTTAAAGATACATCCAACCTAGATGCATATTACTCAGCCCATTAGTTAAGATATAATTAGCATTTTGAATGGAAAATATCTCGAGAATAATGAATAACCCACACTTAGGAAAGGAAACTGGTAATGATGTTTTGGTCCATCTTGGACAGATTACTACTACCACAACTACTATACTACTACTAACACCACCAGTACAACTATACTACTATCACCACTACTACACTACTACTACTACCACCACCACCACTACAACTTTACTACTACAGGTCCACTTCCCTTTATCTGAAACCCTTGGAGCCAGTATTGTTTCGAATTTCAAAATTTTTTGAAGTTCAGAATGATTCTCAACGCCGCCATGTGGCGGCGTGACCCAGCACTGAGATGACCGACGCTCCACACTCCATGAAAAACCTTTGGTTTTAGGAGCTTTTCCAATTTCAGAATTTTGGATAAAGGGTTGTGGACCTGTACTACCACTACAGTACTACTCATACTACTCCCTTCAGTTCTTTCTTGGGTCTTTTTCTGTCTTTTCCCCCTACAGTTGTGACTACTAACTCACTATTACTTATATCACTACTACTACTGTTACTACCTCATTACCTCTATTACTACTTCCACTGCTGCTACCTTTGTTAATACTACTACTGCCTGCATTCTATGCCCTCCACCAACACTATTATCACTACCTCTACTTCCACTACTGCTACTTTCTTTCCCCACCCTCTCGTGTATTGTTCCAGCCACAGTATTACGACTTTTTACTCTCTTAAGAGTAATGTCTACTTTCTAATTTCATGTTATTTAAACCTATAAAAATTTCCAAGAACAATTTATTAAAAAATGCATTCCTACACTGCAAAATCATTTCATGAAACTAGTGTTTCTAGGCTAATAAATAGTTGGCATGAAATATGGCATGTTAGCAAGGCCTATGAAGAAAATGATAATTTAGAAGAGCTCCAGAAACATTCTGAGGATGATGTCATGAAAATACCAAAAAAATTATGTGAAGGAATCCTTTGAACAGTTTTAAGTGATATAAAAATATTTCTTGGAGGGAGGGGGTAAAGGAGGTTTTGTGTGCGAGGGGCTTGGACTTCCAG